TTTTCTGCATTCACATATTTCAAATTTAAACATTTTGTGTGTAAACACTGTGCTAGAAGGAGTTTCACTGATAGACGGAGACATTTTATCCTGAATTGGCAAACACCCAGTTAATCACATCAGCCAGAGAAACGCATACTGGCTTTCAGACAAAAAAGTATTTTAAAAGGATTTCATCCTTTAAAAAGGCATTTTGAAGATGTGCTAAAGGAACCAAACCAAAAATGATCTAAAAGCATAAAAATTAGTTGCATCTGGATGCTCCTCTCAAAGGCCTCATCATTTTTTGTGTGCCGTCTTTTGTGAACAAAAGAAAGAATAATGTGATATTTGGCTCCAAGCCTCGGCTCTCTCTTTCATCCCAATGTGGATTGTAAAACGGCAATGACAATCACTCTGCCACCTAAGAGCGACTCTGCTGCCAGCGCCATTTTCAGGAGCCGCAGAAGGACAGACACCTGACCTTGACAAATCATCAGCTAGCTGACACTGAAATGTCTATTTCACACACCATTTCATTCCAAAGGATTTAAAACCCTGAACGGCCATCGCAACAGTTGTTACAGTCAACATTTTACCATCCGTAACGTCCAGCCGGTCAGACGCCGCTGTTGGTCCAGGAAGAAAGGAAGGAGCAGACCTTCCCATCGTTACCAGAGCAGCTGCCGTGGCGCTGCTGTCGCCGGGTTGGTGAGGGAGGCAGCTGGGCAGGCCTGGTGTTGAAGACGCCATCACTGAACACAAACTGTGGATCTCAAAAGTGCGCACAACCTGCTAAAAGGTTAAATCTGAGCTTCTCTCAATCACAAGACCGAACAATTTTGTCTTTGGAGGCAAACTTGGATAGATTATGTGAAGATCTGATTATATTTTCAGAGACCAAACTTGATGAAGCCACCCTGGTAATCCACTCTAGATAAACCTTTTATGCTTTTGGTTCGTGTATTTTTGTTTATTTTTTTTCCATCTCTAGCTATTTCAGTTTTTCTTCTTTTACATTCTGTTTTTTATTCCCATAATCAAAATCTTTCTCGGGGAAGTGGAGTTGAATCTTTGATCTACTTGTCCTCCTTCTCCCAAATGTTAAAATCGACTTTGTGATGTTTATGTATATTTGGGTAGTAACTAGTTACATTTACTTGAGTACTTCTAGAAGTACTTTCACTGTGCTGTACTTTTTACTTTTACTTGAATAGTTTTATTATGAAGTGTCATTACTCTTACTTGAATAAAACTTCTGAAAAGTGTGGCATGTATATATACTGAGCCCGCCCATCTCAAAATGTTGTAGAAACATATGATGCATCTGGACTTTGACTATACCACACATTAAGCTTTTAGGCTCTTATACAGCCAAATGAGAAACATTTTTAATTAAAACAGTGAAATGAACAGATTCCAGCAGATCTTCTGGATGTTTTTATGCAGGACATCCAGAGAGTATCTACAACAGATGGGCATCAGTAGAACAAGGCTTATAAAAGCAGTTTAATGTTATTTTTTCGCTTCTATGTGCTTTATATTTTTAGATGAACTGCATATTATTCTTAACTTTTCATACTGAAAAGAACTCATAAAATGTTTTTCTTTGTAAGTCAGATGATTCAGTTTGTTGTAAAATTAAAAATAAAATTTTATTTCATTCCATTAACTTCCACTACATATTATTTGATTTAGTCTTTTTGTTTATAATTTCTATTTATTTATTTATTTATTTATTTATTTATTTATTTATTTATTTATTTATTTATTTATTTATTTTTGCTGCTTTATACATTTTATTTTGTAGCAGCAGGGGCAGAAGAAATAAATCCAGAGTTTGTTAGTAACTAATTACATTTAGTCAATTTTTTTACTTGAGTAACTTTATTGAAAAAAAAATATTTGTAGGAGTAATTTACTACGATATACTTTTTATTTTTACTTGAGTAATTTTATTATGAAGTATTTCTACTCTCACTTCAGTAAAATTTCTGGTTTCTCTTCCCACTGAATGAAGAACAAACTTGTTTTAACCAAAACTTCACCAGACACAGACACACACCTGCAGTTTCTGTTACTGTTTCATAAGCTTTTATTGAAAGAAACTGATTTGGAAATATTTGTCTTTTACCAGACTTTGCTAGTTTTTCTTATTTGTATGATATATTATCATTTTGGGCTTTAAAATACCAAAAATTCCACTTAATTTTATATTTTAGTCTGTCTGATCATGTGATTTTTAACTGCCAAATGATTGATCATTTGACGTTTTACCAAATACATTTTTACTCTTACTTGAGTAACTTGCGGGATGGAACATTTTACTTTTACTTGAGTAAAAATATGTTGAAGTTGTGCTACTCTTGCTTACAAACCATTTTTTGGGTTCTCTGCCCACCTCTGGCCACATATGCTCTAAAAACAGACACACACACACACACACACACCTACACACACACACCCACGCACGCACACATCCACTCTACCCAAAAAAACCCTCGTCTCTCATGCATCAACACCTTTTCTTTCCATTTGACAGACTGCTCCACCCGCTAGTTTAAGATGCAACGCGTTTCTCCTAATATGCCCAAAGAGCACGAAGCCCTAATCTAATTAGAGTGTCAGTCAGCAGAGTGTTCAGCCAAAGAGAAATTAGGAAAGCACAAAATCTACAAACAGGGGAAAAAAAATCATCTAGCAAGGATGTAGCATATCTAACCGCCCCACCAGATTCTCCCCTCCCCGCCCACCACCGCCTTCTTTTTGTGATATTTTTTTAATGGGCTCACTCTTGCCCCCGCTGAGATTCATTACCTGCCCTAATTATAAAGGCAAATGAAATCAACTCAATACATTATTAATAGAGAAGCACTATTGAGATTCATTTGCAGCATTTGCAACAATATGGTATATTCCAACTGTTTTCATGCCTGATTTAGCACGCACGCCGATAAGAATGAGGTACGTGAATAAGGTGGAAGTGAAGAGAGCGAGGACGACTACAAAGCTGGACTGGACAGAAAGAGTTTCGAGCAGAAGAGGGGGGAAAGGATGGAGTGAAGAAAGGTTTTGGAGGAGAAGGAGGAGGGGGTAGGGATTAAAGAGAGAGCTGGTTTTTCCACTTGAGGGGCTATTGATGCTATATTGGATGCAGCTACTTATGAACAGGTGTGCTATGTGTGGAGGACTGTGACCCAGGCACCACTTCCTGCATGGCTACACATCCGATTGAGGCGCATTGGAGCCGGACAGAGAGAAAGCCAGAGAGAGCGAGAGGCAGGCATCAGCCCCCTCAGGCCTAAGATGAAGGGACAGCCGTGCCGCATCCTCCCTCCTTCAGACCAGGAGGGTGAAAGCGAGGAGCGCAGCCCAGCCACCGCAAGACTGCAGCTTCAGAGTGTAAGCAACCATGAATAAAAACGGACTTTGCAGAGAAGTAGGGCTTATAATTATTCGCTCTGAATCAGTTAAAGCCTTTTTCTCAAATATCCCCCAGGAGGCATCAGGTTAAAAATCCATTTGTGGGAAGTGTAGCATGACAGTGAGCTCGTCTCCCTGGAGACCGACGATATGACAACAGGGGAAGTGTATAAATATCTGTTTTACATATTTATATAAAACATATACAGACATGTATATGGAAGGGCGTCGGTGTTCAGCTGGTCTGTGTCTCTGCGACATTTAAAGAAAAGTAAATGTTCTTTAAACTGGACGAGCAGATTTTACAAGGATATCATCTGAATTTCAGTCGTTTGTTACCCAAATATTCTCCTTGAAAAAGGAGAAAGAGCTCAGATCATTTACTGCTTGAGCAAAACCAACGTAACTGTAATTAGTTTAAATCTGAAGACAATTTAGTTCATTTGAAACTTTTGTTTATTCCAAAATACATTAAATCAATTCTTCCTTAGTTTTATTCATTAGAAACCTTTTAAAAAACTGAACCGTTTCAATGTTTTGACATAGTTTTATGTATGAATCGAAGACTAAACGTACTTAGGGTACAGTTGGCACATTTCGGTTTAAATTAATCTTTTTGATTTGGAGTTTCGACTTGAATCTAACTGAGAATCTGTGAAGGGAGTAAAAATTAGGGTGATGATAAGGAGGGCTCCTAACCTCAAAGGCTTTGAGCTGATCACCAAAGATAAATGGCACCATGTGCCAAAATCCAGTTTGCATTTTTAAGAAAGGTTTATTGTTGAAATACCAATAAATATTTTCCAGTGACTAAACAGCTTTCAATATCCAGTTTTTAATGCTAAAATGTAGATAAAAATGTAAACACTGTTCAAAACTGAGCCTCCTTTTACATTGTTTCATTATCTTCTGAGAAACTCCTGTCTCATTTCCTATCAGATACAAACTTTTAATAAGTGTTCACTCCCTCCTGCTCCTTTTCAAACAAAACATAAACTTGATTATGTATACACATGTCGTCTCTGTCCTACTGACCGCTTGCCCTCTTGTTTTTACAAACCTTTTTGGAATAAATAAATCAAATAACTCAAGCTTCTTGGCTGCATGATCTAAATCTAAATCTGCCACCGGTATGAATAATTTTGGGCTTAACAGGAAATGTAGGTGTGAATGTTATGTTGGCATTTAAATGTTTATAAATTGAACAGTCAGTGAAGCACAGCAGCATACATATCATAATATTTCACATTTTCCTTTTCTAGATTAAAGGTATGCACCCTATTGCTTTAAAGGTCAACTGCAAGAAATGCAAAGTTCAACACATTGAAGAAACGAAGCTCTCCCACAAGGCTTGATAACGAAAAGGGCCATAAAAATACCAGCATTAAAAGTAAACAGTTTCACTGAGTGTGAGTAAACGCAGAGCTTGTTTTTGCACTAAATATCCTTGTGATGCTGATCACATTGTCATTTAGCACTAACAAGTCGGAAACTGCCAGACTGAAGGGGAGGTTGGTGGGAAGTTCTGTTTGTTTTTAAGGTAAACAGAGAAAAAAAGACTCTGGGAAAGACGAAGACAAGCTGGAGGTCTACTTTACCGTCACGCCGTCTTTCCACACATGCTCCTTCTGCAGCTGCTCCGCCTCTCGGACCAGTTTCTGGAAGAAAACACACACAAAAATCACAAATCTGCAGGATATGGATTTAGAGACAGGACTGGGGACCAACGAGCAACAATGATCCAGGAGAACCTTTTTGAAGTCATCACATTATTCTAGCCGCATTACAATTGTTTATTTTTATCCTATATGTGACATTTACAGTTTTGCTCCATGTAATTGATTTCATTTTGTTTGTAACTGTGGATAACACAAACTATTAAAGACTTTCTTTCATGCTTACTAGCACAAACACTGTGATTTGTAAGAAAAAAATTCATTTGTAAATGCAAATGTATGAAAGAATACGAAATTTAAATTATTATTATATAGCCTTTGCTATAATGCTATAAACAGTGTAGGCAACATTTTTCTAGAAGTAGTAATCCAATTAAAACGGTGCCAAACAATGCTTCAATGCCTTAGTTCTGCAAACCTCTGTTATCAGGGCATATTGAGATAAAATGTTCAAATACTTAGTATTTTTATCTTGCTTTTGTTGTGCGTTTTTAATCATAACACTATAGCAATAAGTTATAACACAGAAGGAAACGAGTAAAGTAGTTGAGGGAAAATTCACTTCATATTTGTGTGTTTACAAACTTTTACCAAGAAAGAGCTTCATGTTATCCTGGCATATAAACATGATGTGATACAAAAGCACTTTTCTTAGCCTCTCTTCAAAATGGGAATTATGAGAAAACATGGCATTCAAAGAAAGGAGCTGTGATGATCTTCACAAGTCAGGAACACCTAATCACTGCAGAGCAACAATTAAATAGTTTAATGTGATAAACAAAGCTGGATGAGGATGAGAAGGATGGCAGCTGATGTGCAAAACTCTCCAACACTCGCTGGTAAAGAACTGCAGCACAGTGACATTTCCAGGTAATTTAGTCGACCATTAGATGATGTCAATAACACCAACCTAATGATATGGAGGCATGCAGGAAAAAGGCTTTTCTGTCCTACCTTCACAACTGCTGGGTATTTAGGCAGATCTGAGCTTAGATTAAATGAATAACTTCAGCTTTTAAGTAGCATCTACTCTTCTTGTAATTGCAAATGATGAACATGTGGAAAAGAACCTCAAGCCCATGTTGAGCATGGTGAAAGATATGTGATGCTGTGGGTCATTTTTCCTTGCATATGCCTTTGGAAATGGCATCATAAACTTTTTAAAATGCTAGTACAGTTTAAGATAAAGTCTGACAGGCTCTACCAGGAAAAGAAACAACAATGTGAAACGTACTGAATACAGGTTTGCTTTTACAGAATCCAAACTTTTTCCGCAGACATTTCAGTCCTCACTTCAATCTAATGTGTCTGTGAATGTTTTATCCTAAATTACCATAAAGTACCCCTGCAAAGTTATGTTGTTGCAAAATGTTCTGTCATAATGTATCCGCATCTACAGCGCTTTTTGGATGACCTTGAAGAACCCTCCGCTCTCGACTGGGAAGTAATCCAAGTAGCAAATACATATCAGCCTTCGAAACGTCCCATCCTTCCTCCTCTTCTCCCTCACTTCCATCTTGTGCCTGTATCTAGGTTTCCACAGGCCTCTAGGGGGCGATGGTGAAATTATTTTTGTCCCAGAATGGCGTGATTGGCCACAAATCCCCAGGGCTCTGAAATTACTCACCCTATTTAGACCCCCTGTTACAGTTAGAGCTCATTCATCCGAGGTCGGGCCACAAAGATTCCCGTCGCCTATCGAGAGAGATGTTTTATCTACAAAAAACACTCAAAATATAAACTCTCAGTATAACAGAAGCTATCTTATTTCCTGCCCACCTCTTCTTAGCGGTTCCAACAAAGCCTCGTCATATGATGTAAACAATTTCCCCGGGATAAGAACGTAAAGCTCCTATCATGAGGCAAACATACTATGCTGACTTAAAGCGTCAGCACTGTATGTTTTAGTACATATAAAAGTGCAATATGAAGAGGAATTTGCACTGATTTTAATCCCTTGGTTGCATATTTTTATTTTAAAAAATAGCTAAAAATAATTTTAAAATGAGCCGATGATGGAGAACATTTGATAGGAATATAAACAACAAAATAAAGTGCCAACACAGCACAAACATAAGCTTGAGACGAAAGCCAAAGTAAGGAGATTTAAAATCTCAACCGTCTGTTAACTGGGGTAAACCGTCCTATAAATTTGGGGCAGCCAGTGAAAAAGCCTAATCACCTTTATGTTGGATCTGCAATGCAGAGAAACTGGCTGGTTGGCAGCAGTCTTCTTATGTTTATTAGACTGGATAAGAAAGATGGAGCCAGTCCACCAAAACTTTGAAAGTAGGTGCTACTTTCAAAGTCAGTCTGGAAAAGCACGTAGAAAGAGGGCGAAGATACAAAGACTGGATGCAAATGACTTATTAGAAATTAGTTTGTTATTTTTAAAGGCTACATTAACATGATGTCAGCCCACCCAAATGCTCCTCTGGGAAGGCTTTCTATAAAATCCAGGAGTATATTTTGGGAGTTTTAGAAAAGAAATACGTCACCAAGGCAGAATGGAGCTATACTTTCATGTTGTTTATATAAAATTTTTACCTCATGTTCTGAATGGCACAGCTAGAATTGAGACTCACTGGATCAGGAAATGCTTTCCAGTCTTTTCCTGTCTAATTTTGGTCAACCTATGCAAATTTTATTCTTACTTTACTATTCTTAGCTGACAAGAGTGGGATTCGGTGCTCCCTTCTGCTGCTGTTGCCCATCTGCTTCAAGGTCAGAAGTGTGGTACATTTCGTATGGATATTTTACATACACTGGTTGTAACAAGAGGTTATTATTTGAGCTGCTCTTGACTTTGTATCAAATCAAACCAGGATACTCATTCTCCTCTGACATCAACAAGGGAGATTCACAGTTTCTGAAATATTCAGCACATCATCCACCAACAACAGCGACATGTTCAAAGTTACTCAGAGCTAGCCTGTAGTGCTTCCTTGTTCAGGTTAGGTCAAGGATCTATACAAAACATGTTCTTAGGTTATGAGACTTCAGTTTGGTAAGTTCTGCCAATTTTGAGCTCCTTGCAGAATGAGCTGGTTTTAGGGCGTCTTGTCACTTTAAATCCAAATGAGCTGCTGCTGGCCACACCCCCGACTCAACATCTACACTCATGAGAAAAAGGCTGCAAAACAGATGCATAATTATATAACTGTGCATCTTTGAAAAGCAGAACCATATGCACCTGCACAAGCAACAAGAACGCAGCAAGTGGTTTCTGAATAGTAAGTCAACAACAAAACACGTGTCTATTCCAGCAGCCATTGTACACCGCATACAGCAGTAAAACCAGCTGACCAAATGTGCTGGAGCTCTGCTTGGGTTGCTAGGCAATGCTCCTGGAAATGGCCGGGGTTGCTAGGTAACGATGTGATGCCCCTGGAAAGTGACTTAACAACAGGGAGGTTTTTGAAACAGTTTATTTTCAGATACAAAAAAAAAAAGAGTTTTTAAGCACTTTAGCTATGAAAGCAGTTGAGACCCAAATGGAAATACAGAAAAAAGCAAAATATGGATTTTGAATAATAAGTCCCACTGAAATCTCCTTCTGATACTCAGTTTGAACTTAAGGAAGTCACTTAAGTAAATTCATTGAGTTGCTGCCACATGATCGGCTGTTTCTGTGGTTGACGAGCAACTCTTCATAATCCAAAATATCACCAACAAACACAGTTATTCAGTTTTAGAAAGAACAATTCAGCGGTTTTTCATTAAACAGGATCAGTTTTGCAGCAGTGGAATCACACTGGTAATCTCTTGGTAAAACTATAAACATTACAGGAATCAGTTTGGGATTTAAAAAAAGCAGCCACACAATAATCTCCAGGGACATCTGATTTCATTTCGTCGTAACAGTATATATATGTGACTTGGATGTTTTTTAATATACTGTCTTTTGTATTGGTTGATATTAATCACATGTTATCTTTAATCTGGCAGGTCTTTCATCCCTTTAGCTCAGTCTTTTTTGGGAGATTTAATCTCTCTGCAGAACTGTACTTTGTTCTTTGTGAATTTTCATATTCTCATATTTCTATCTACTCTATGTTCCTCCAGCTGTTTCTCCCCAAGCATTCCTAGAACCACTCCCCCCTCCTGGTGGACAACCATTTCTCAGAGAACCGCTCTCTTCCAGAGCAGGTTAACGCAGACCCCCCTGCTACAAAATTGCCATGTGTCTTAGCGTGGCGTTCGCACTTCTGTGTTAGCCCAGATGGATTGGCAAGACAAACAGCCAATGAATCACAGTGAGAGATGTGGGAAGGAGGGGGGCAGGGATATATCATCTATGCTGGTGGCTGGAGCCCAAGCAGCTTAGAGCGCCGGATGAACATAGTGAGATCAGCACAGAACAGCCCAGATAAGCTCTGTACTGGCCCACACAACACAGAAAATAACACAGCAGAGCACAGGCACAACCACACCACAAGCGTCAACAGCACCAACATATACTGCAAAATGCATCATGTTGTTGGTTATTTGTCAACCAGCCAACAGTCAAGGTCAAGAGCCAAACAGAGTTCTGTGATGGATAGCTAAACTTGAAGCGTGGGCATTTAAACACGGAGGAATCTGACATATACAGCGCTGTGCACATGTTTAAAACCACTTCTGAGGCAAAAAGCTAGACATTGTTTTAAAGATGATTTTATCAGTAGTGTGGAAGTCTCTGGCGGTCCTAAAGGCAGGCCTGCTTTTAATTTTACTTATGCACAACCACAGCAGCTTCGAAGCATCTCCTTAAAAAATATGACAGTGTGGACAGATGGAGGACAACAGAAGAAGAAGAAATAAAAAACTATTGACAGATGATAAACAGTATAGCATTAAGTAGCTAATATATTTAACAAAAAGGACTAAAGGACATGAAGGGATGATCATCTCCTATTTACCAAGATTTAATCTAATGCAGACTATGGCTGCAACTAATAATTATTTTAGTTATCAAGTATTCTAACGATTATTCTGATGAT